TGTCCATTGGTTTTCCTCTTGCTCAGTCATTTTGGTCCTGATAAGCAATCTGCTCTGCTGTGTCATCTGTATGACTGTGTCACCTGAAGCCCATTTGCTGCAAGCAGGCACCAGGTAAGAGCAGCAATTAATTCCACCTGCAGGCACCTTAATGCAAAACAGGTTTAATTAGGTGCTGCCCTTTCTCCCCTCTTTTGTCAATTAGAACAAACACACAGTGGTCTGTAAGAGAGATCAACAGGGTGGGGTTTTTAATCACTTAAAACCCACTATTTATTGCATGGTCATGGGTGTAGTTAATGTTTGTAATGAGGGCCTGGAGTGCTGCACTTGAGGGGCTGGTTTATTGTTGATGGCAGCAGTAATGCTGCTCATGTAAGTAAGTGTTGCTCAGTTTTGTCAAGATATGTGGATAAACGTTTGTTAGAAGTAATCAGTTTCTTTAGTTTTGTGCTGCATAAAGAGCTCCTAACTTTGAAGGCTCTTTTCATGAATGGGAAAATATGAAATCAATTTCATTTATCTGAATGAATCTTTCAGCAAGTATAGGGTTTAGTGTGGGGGCACTGCAGGAAAAGTGTAAAAAATGTGGTAGCATAAAAATGATTAAAACATGATGAGCAAGGTTATAGAGATAAAAAAAAGGAGATGGAAAGAGTTTGAAAAGTGAAAACAAGAAATTTGCTTGATAGCAAAGGGGTTGTCTATTTTTCATGTTTACTTCTTTGCTCATAATTTTTTGCTCCATCATCAATCATTGTCAATTTGAAAAAGCACTATACTTAGGGTCATTTTTCCAGGGCTATTGGAGGCTAAAATTATGCAGTTTCAGTCAAATATACATGAATAAAGACTGTCATTTCTGATTAATGGCATGTGACTTCAATGTCTTACAGAATCATCTTGCCATCCAAGCTTTACAAAAAGGTTATTATGTAAGGCCTTCTCCATAATATTTCTACTTTTTCCTCTAAGTGCCCTGAAAAAGCTGTTCTGTTCATAATGAAATCTCTGCTGATATCCCTCATTATTCTAGAAACAATTGTTACTCAGCTCTAAAGACTGCCAGATTAAGTGCCTTTTTTTTTTTTTGTTACTATAGATGGTTGCCATGATCATGTTTTTTGGTGCTGTTTCATAATTTGATTTTAGTTTCAGTTGTGAGAGATAGTTTGTCCTTTTACTAAAGAAAATGCAGTGCACTAACCTTGCCTAATACATTATTTTTCCTTTTAAAAGCAGTCTGTGGCATTTTAGCACTAACTACTGCTTTCTTTCATGATTTGCCGTGTCCTTTATCCTAGGCATATAAAGCAGCCCTGGTAGAAATATCTAAAAGTCAGCTGGCAATCAGTTTTTTTGGAGAAATGTTGGAAAAGACCGAGAGATGCTTGTGAGTTTTCTCCTGCCCCATGAGGCTCCATCCTTGAGCATGCCATTAGCAAGAGTAGTTTTGGGGAAATGGCTTGCTCTTGGTATATGACAAAACCTACTATGGAAGATTTGAGAAGTTCTGAAGCACCTTCAGGATGCCTAATCTGCTATTTCCTTAGTTGCTTTATTCTCCCCTAGTAGTTTCTTTCATAAAAGCCTCATTTTATAATTCTGTTTGCTGTCATGTTTGACAAGTTGTGTAGGTGCTATTCATCACTTCTCTCTTGTTGTGGTCAATTGGCACATCAAATAATTCTACATGTTACAAAACTGCATCATTATCTAAATGGTCCATCAGGAAGTCATTTTTTTTCCCCAATTCATTTGTATTTTCCCATTCATGGTACTCTTAGCAGAGTGGGACCTGCCTGTTGGGCTGTGATGAGTTATGTAGAGCTCAGTGGCTATGAGCTCCAGATGGGGTCAAGGAGCTAATTCTGTGGTCTCTTGCCCTGAGTGACGTGTTATGGGAGCAAGTTTGTGCAGGTCCTAGAGGGCTGTGGGATGCCAGAGTATGAAGCATTGCCAGGCCACTACATGGTAGTATCTGTATGAGCGTGCATGTGTTTTGAGAGATCACTTAAGTACTAACTGCCTTGAGTCTTTGGATGCTGTCACTGCTTAAATAATGGGTGTGGTCCTTATAAATCAGCCTGCACTGTCGACCCAGCATCAGCAATTCTTACTATCTGTGTATTAATGTCTGTTAAGCGTGCGTGCATTTGTGAATACTCATATGTGTGTGCACACACATGATAGACATCATATATATTAGTGTTCTGTTACTGTCAATATTAATGTTTAGACTTAAGCATTGCAAAGAAAGGTAGTGCTCAGAAGGAGAAGGTTTTGCTATGGAAATAAATGAAGTGAGGAGAAAATAAGAGCAAGGGAAAGCAAACAAGGTTGCAAGCCAAAGGAAAAAGAAAGCAGCTCTGAGCTATCAACAGGCTACAAAAGTAAGGGCAGTAAGGAAGGTGCTGAGCCTCCTATTTGCATTGCATTCTCTGCTGTTGTCCTATTTCATGCTTTTCTTCCCCCACAAATCAAGTGGTATCCCAGATTGGGGTACAATATAGTTGTACCAGTTCTCATCTATTATGTTTGAGGACCATAACACAGGGTGTCTGTAATATATGACTGCACATATTTCTTGTGGCTCTGATACTATTAAAGCTACTTAAGTGTCATGACGTGTTTGTTTATGATATCATCAAAGCCACTTAATAACTTTCTCGAGGTTCCTTGTTTACATCTGTGTAATACAGAGCCAGATTGTGCACCCTCCAGCCACGTCAGCAAGTACTTAGTCATGCAGGTTATAGACTGGCATAAGGGTTGTGCAGTCTGGCCCATAATGCATCAAAGTACATGAGGCCAAGATCTTAGCACTTACAATCATGTAAATCTGGCGTTAATCCATTTAGGCTCTAAGTTAGGTGCCTAGATATAAATCAGTGCAATTTCATTGGCTTGACTGCTTGATTCATTGGAGCTATTCTGATTTACATGGGGAAGATCAGGCCCATTAGATCTGCAATTTAGAGGCGCATTTGCTCCACTGCGTGTATAAACATTAGGAGAGCGGAAATTAACGTGACCTCAGAAAAATTTTTCAGTCCTGGGTATTTAAAATATCTCTTTGCACAATATAAACAAAGAGAATTATGTTAGAGGTAGAAGCAAGAAGGTTTAAGAGTCGCATATGTCTTAACCTTTACACTGGCTATGAGTACATCAGTTCCTACAAGATGAACTGCATTATAAAGTAAATAGATCTGCTTTAAAGAAAGGTCAGGACACATGTTCTGCTAAAATCTAATTTCAGTCTATTGCCCTATAACCTACTGCTCTCTAGAATACAACGGATATAATAGTAAAGAGCCTGCATTTAATTATCTGTGATATAAAGCCTCCTTAGCCTCCTGAGAATATTCACAAGAATAATAGGTGCTCTCAAAATATTGCCTTTACTGCTGTATAGTGAGTGCTTTCTGTTTTAACCCTTTCCTGCTTTCTGAAAATGCTATTCTACAATCCCTTGCATCTTTAATTTGTTATAATACTGTTTTTATTTACTGAAAGCCTATGCTGGTTCCTAATGCCATTGCATGCCTTTAGCAGGCAGGTTCCTGGGAGCACATTAGCAGCAGGCTGTGCTCATCATCCCCATGCAGTAGCTATTTGCTGCTGTCTGGTTTTGGGATGAATTACATTAGGATTCAATAGCTTAATAATAACATTAAAGTTCTTCTGGATTTTATCAGGCAAAATTAAAGTGAAGGGTACTTGGTGCAATCGCAATGTTAGTCTGGCAAAGAAACAGCTAACAATAATGTATAGAGTTGCATAAAAGAATAATTAAGAAGGGTTCAGTCATGTTATAGCCCATGTGCCACGCAGTCCTAAATCAACATGTCACTTAGAAAGGAGATAGATGGTGAGTTAGCTTTTTATGCTGATCACTCAAGCACCTGCCGGAAAATATTTCAAGCAGTGAAAAAAATGAGGGAGCAAAAGAAAAATATCTGGCTAAGGCTCAATTCTGAAGGTGTAAGTCTTCGTTTTGTGTGTAACATTGCAGATATAACTGTTATCAGGCACCTACAGACTTGATCTTTGGGCTGCTATGGCCTGACCACTATGGTCTCCAGAAGTGGTAGCAGCTCCATCACAGTACAAGAAGTGAGGATGAGGCTGTCCCAGATGCTGTAACCTCCTTCTCTGCTGCATCCCAGGCAGGATTCACAGTACAGCTCTCCTGGAGGATGTGCTGGCAGTGAACTCTTCTGAAGATTAAACTTTCCAGCAGAGTTGGAGAATTTCTAATTTGATCTCAATGGCTATGCCTGGATTGATCCCCTGGGGCTGATCCTAGACAAGGACCAAGCTGCCTGCTCTCCCAACATGTGCTTCTGCCTTCCTTCTCCCATCTCTCACCCACTTCATTATCTTAAGGCGATTGGTCAATACATAGGTGAATTAAAAACTCATATACTTGCATGAGCTTCCCTGGGGTCTTTGTTGTGGAAGACAGTGATAACCATTTAAGACAGTGCCCTGTCATTTTAAACCCATCCTTCCTGCCCATGTCAAGGGGATTGGGTGGAAAGAGGATGTCAGGGAAGGAAAAGGATGAGTCCTAAAGCACTGTCAGGGCTATGTCAAACAGCCTGTATTCCTGGATCTGTGAGCAACTTGGGAAAGTGATGGAAAATGTATTAAAACCAGATAAAAAGGTGTGAAGTGTGTCTTGTTCCCTGTGTTGCTGCCCTGTTGTATCTCACCTTCCTGCCCTGGCAGAAGGTAGCTGCAGGAAGCACAAGGTCTGTGCTACCCTCTTGCAGGGAGCTGGTGTTGCCTCCATGAAGGTCTTCTCTCCTGCCAAGCCCAAGAGCACGTGCCAAGTCTTGTAGCAACCAAAATGATTAAATGTTTTGCTACAGCGTCTTCTTGGCACTGAATGGCAATGAGTTAGACAGCACTCTCTGACTCTTTGTAAGAGAGGAAAAAAGCAGATATAAAATGTTTTGGTCTTGCTACCTTTGGCAACTTGCAGATTTTCTAGCTGTGGATGTTCAAAAGAGCTTCCTACCTGGAGAAGAGCCACAGTGCAACATGAGATGCTGGTAAGTGCAGGTTCATTCCTGTTAATGTTCTCACACCTCTCTGAGGTCTCACCAGCATTGTGCATGTGCCTCCTCGGTGGTGGGACCAGGGCTGGGCTGCCCTTGGTTTGTTCGTGGGTGTGGGGTTGTTTTTTACCTTGTTTGGTTTTATTTTGTCCAGGAAAGAGAAAAGAGTGGCAGCCTGATGCTCTCTGTAAGACAGAGAAGACATTAAGGAGTAAATGCAACGGGGATGGCGAAGCTGGTTTAATCATACCCAAAGGAAAACAGTGAGTTCCACCTAGAAGCAAGAAAAATGCCTCTAATTTTCCTTTGGGGAGCCTCTATATAGCTAACTCTGCTATCTGAGTGCAGTGAGACCTAGCAGTCTCTGCAGAGACTCCCTGATTTTACTATTTCAAGTATTTTTTTTTTCTAGATGCCTTAATACTTCCACACAGGAGAGTTCCTTCTGGGGCATTAAAGGATAGATCCCTAGGATCCTTCTTCCATTTCGTATGAAATTAATGGTAATTACCAAGAGTGATTAACAGGTTCAGTCCCTATTAGTCTTACTTTTTAAAATTCTGAAACAAATATTTTTCTTCCACTGTAACTGATCATTTTAATTTCCCTTCTTTGTCTGTAATAAGAATTGATGTTAAAGGATGCCCGAGGCAGTGCAATGAGAAAATGAAATTAGTTTTTCACTTGGCTGGTCAAAAGCATTTTATATATGATAATAAACAGTTTATTTTACTCTTTTGCTTATGACATAATAAATGACAAAAGCATTTTCTTGAAATAGATAGTGCCTACTTTGTTACAGAGATCTCAAGCTGGGATTTTTCACCACTGATGGTGTGACAGAACTGTGAGGAAAGTTTGTCCTCTTTGATTTTTCTTAATCTTTTAGGAGATGTATGTGTCAGTTGATTTCTACCCTCCATGTGAAGAAAATTTACCATGTTTTTTTTTAAATGGTTGGTTATCTTAGAAATACAGGGCTGGTTACAGTACTGTAAACTAGGAGTAAACTTCTGTTGAGAATTTTGGAGGAGTTGTGCAGAGCTTTATTTGGGACCTTTGGAACTAGATGCAGGGCTCCGTTTAACACAGGCAGTGCCATTTCCTTCACAGCCTGGGCAGGAGCACCAGGAACTGCAGGGAGCTCCCGGAGCCACTTCATTCTCCTGACATCAAAGTCAGGAGAAATTTTTGATTGTTAATAATTTCCTCAAACTTGGGATTTCTACGTCATTTCCTTATTTATGAGGTAACACTGAAATTGCACAGGGGAAAAGGAGGCTCATGCAGTTATTCTGAAGAACCATTCGGGCTTTGGTGCAGGTCTGTGACCACACTGGGATGTGTCCAGTTTCACTCGCCTATTCCTCTGTTCATGTTTCACATGAATTTTGAAAGCTTTTTTTCTGCACAGAGGCACTTTCAAAAGGGAACATTTGGGACTATTAGAATTATTTAGATTGATTACAGTGGCTTCTTCAAAGCAGAGAAAGGAAAATAGGCTAGTGGTGAGATGAACACACACCATATTGATAAATGTAGTTATATATATGAACTGAGTGAGAAAAGAGAAAAGCTGGGGTTTCTTATGTGTGATTCTTACAGTTCCTGACAGCTCAAACTCCCACATGCTTGACTAGTTCAATCCTGGATTAGTGTGATGCCTGTTTGGCGGATCCCGGGGGGCAAAGACTCAGCAAGAAACACATCATTCAGGATTTTGGGGACAGCTTGTAAACCATCCAAGTCTGCTGGCGAGCCCACTCCAATCAAAGTCAAACCTGAAGATGGAACCAGAGAGGAAAAAACATTAAAGCTCCCACAATTTATGTGCTAAGTTGTGATTAGTGTGGTTCTATGGAACGGCAGCAGTGAAAGGTTTCTTTGTAAAAATAATATGAACTGTGTTGAGCAAATATGTATCATGTTGAATTACACAAATAAGAAGGAAAACCAGAATGAAAATGAGGACTGTACTGAAATCTGGATTTTACTGAGAACTATGGCAAAATTGTCCTCAAGCTGAGATAATATTCATTGTCATTGAGGCTTGATTTTTATTTATTTTTTTTTACCTAGGAAGAAGCTATCTTGCAGTGGAATAAGCCCGATTTAACAACCTGTTCCCATACTACTCCTTGTACAATACTCCCATTGACACTATGGGTCTGTCCATGAAAGTGGAGATTGTGTTATGGGTTAGACTAGCCTAAGGTAAGATGTGTCGTATGACTATGATGAGTGAAATCTCAAAATTGAAGCTGTGAAATGGAGAGCTGAAAGCTGATCCTATGATATATCTGAATCTAGCAGCAAGCCCAATTTAAAATTCAATAGCTGAATAATGAGCATAAAGGCTCAAAAATAAGTTTATGAAAAAAATTTATGGTGGAAAGGTGCCTTGACTGGTCACCTGGTCCAGTTCCTAAGGTCACACTCCACCCCATGCCTGTGTGTGTGCTTCTATTTCTGTTTCTTTCCCAGACAGAGGTTTTTGAAGATGCTTGTCAATAGCTGTGAATCTCATACTTCTAAAGGGGTTTTTTTGTCTTTGCCTGTAAGTATAGATCTGGAGACGGTGGATTAAAGCAGAAGAACATGTAATTTCAATGGTAAATAAGACTGGTTACCTAGCTTACAACTTTAAATTTACGCCAATAAACTACAAATGAATTATCTTTTGTCACTCCAGATATATTTCCTGAGTGGTGTAATTTAGCAGGCAGTGAATTCTCTCTCAAATTTCTTGTAGCATCTTTAGATTACATAATTATCCTTCAATTTCTCTCAGATACCCAGAAAACAATTTAGCAACAGTGGCTATTGTTGCAGCAATAACAAGCTTAAAACAGTGTAGGACAATACTGTTGTATAAAATGGAGGTTGTTCTGCTGATTATAGTTCGGTTTTATTATTTTTTTCTCCAGTGGTGAAAATTGATTGGATTACTGAGGAAAACCCCACTCATGCTGTGTATTCTCTTCTTTTATAAGTTCTTAAATAAACCACAAAGCCTGAAGGTATTTATCTCCAATGAATTTTCTTGGAGAATCAGAGAACTGGTATGCTTGGTAAAATAACTACTACCTCTCCGTAGTATTTGATAGCCAATCCTTGTTTTTGTCTATATTATCCAAAATATTTAATTCAAATGTGTCATAGGAGGTAGATGAAGAACCGTCCAAGGCAAGGGTCCACCTGGTGGATCCTCTGAGGGGTGAATGGAAAAGGCCACGAGAGCATCTGCATCTCTCTGCTTTCCAATAATCTTCCAGGAATCTGCATAAGCACAGCACCCTTCCTTTTATTTTAAATCAGTTATAGAAAATAGTGTGAGGAAAAAGAGAAATCAACCCCTTTTGGAGGAGGAGCATCACTTCTGGGCATTAGGTATTGCTTCTCCCTCTCCAGCTCTGCCCGTGTCCATAGGGACAGGCTTTGTGGGCACAGAGGCTCCTCAGGTATCACAGAATCACAGAATGTTCAAGGTTGGAAGGGACCTCTAGAGATCATCTAGCCCAACCTTCCTGCTCAAGCAGGCATACCTAGAGCATGTGGCACAGGGTGGCATCCAGGCGGGTTTTGAAGACCTCCAGCAAAGGAGACTCCACAACCTCCCCGGGCAGCCTGAATCACATTATTGACCTGGTGAGCTCAAGTCCAAGCTCGTTAGTTTTCCAGCTCTGTTCCCGGGAAGTGCCAGCTATTTGGGCTCTAGTGCGGAGCGTGCGCCTGTGTTAGCACTGCCATGGTCAAAGGTCTGTCCGGTCAGGACCTCTGCTCTGTGGGAGAGAACAACCGATTTAAAACTACCGGAGGAAACGAGTAAAGGGAAAAAGAGGAATTTATAAAGCTCATTAAATGTCTTGAGAGATGCTGCAGCCTTTTGGGCAAATGCTGACTGCAGCTAAGCTGTAGGAGGAAAGGGGCAGAGGAAACACCAAAGATCACCTGCTGCTGGAGAAGGACCAAGAGCAAGGAAGTGGGAAGGAGGCGGAGAGCTCTGCAGCTGTACCAGCAAGGATGCTTCCATTGCCATGGAGCAGACTGGGCAGGTACAATGAGCACCAACGTGTTTTCTCTTTTCATGTTCAGTTTCTGAGCTTTATTTGGTGTCAGGAAAATCCGGAGAAATAAAACTCAGCTTACTTGTGTTTACAGTATGACATTTGTTAATGGTTGCCTTGTTTTGGTGAAGTGGGTAAATCACCTAAAGACTGAATCGAATGGGTTGTATCTTGCATATTTAATGACAGCTGAGGTGCCATGGCAGGCCTGACTAAATTGCTGTGTCAAGATTACACACATGCTACCCATGGCACAGTGTTTTTAGTACGTGCTGGGAAAGTTAAGAGGAAGTCTGCCAGCATCCAGCAAGATTTAGTCCTGGATGTTGCTTGGCTCCCAAGCACAAGCATCATCCTATCACTTGTCATCTCTTCTGTCATCCCAAATAGGTGGCATTTGCCACTGCAAGAATGAGACCTGTTAGGTCTTTAATCAAGTCCTGCAGTTGAGATGTGCTGGAAAGATTCCTGCTGGAAATAGCTTTACTTTTTTAAACTGTCATCTCTGGAGCGACGTTAAATGTGTCACAACAGAATTAGTGTTATGTCTTCTCAAATTCTCTTTGGGTTTTTGGATGTGAACAATGAAGATATTCGGCACAGTGAAGTACTTAAGAAAATATAACTAAACTGGGGATCAATGGTGAAAGAAATCAGAAGCAAATTTATGTGATGTAATAATAAATGGAGACCATCATTTTCCAGACTCCAGTTAATATTGGGTATGAAGATATGATTTTGTGTAGAGAATTTTGTATAGCAAATTACTCTCTTATGTAGTTTTCATCTACCTGAAAATACAGAGATTATTGCAATTAGATGATTCTTCTTCCTTTTCTAATAAAACTGCATAGGTATGGATTATTAAGGGAATGATTCTGCAGAAACCTAGGCTAAAAAAAAATCCTGAAGAAAATGTTTTTTCCTTGAGATGGTAGCTAGACTCATTGAAATCCATAGCTGCTTAGTGCTCCATCACTTTTTGAGGCGTTTTAAGAGTGTATTATGGGCTTTGTAAAGTAGTTACTGGAATGAACCCAAATGATTTTTCACTTTGGTCTTTTGCATTTGTGTAAGATATTTACCCCCAAATAGGATTTTCTGGAATACTGGAAGATAAATACGGCATAAGAATTTCCAAATTCACTGTCTGAGGTGGAAGCAGGAGTCCCACAACTCTGGTTCCCCAGGTGCAGCATGCATGGATGGATCTGTTTCTGCTCCATCTGCCTGTTCCATATATACAAAGTAAAATCCCATTAACTTAGCACTTCCCACTTTAATTTCTGCAGGGCTAGATTGTGTTTTCTCTTGCATTTTTTAAAGAAGGGCTGAAACAGGAAAGTTTTGCAAAGCTTTGCCCCAGCAGATGTTTGTTTCCTTCCAAGGAACGGGAGTGTGAGCCCAATAAGACATGGGTGCCACCTGTATTGGGCTAAGTAGGATCTTTGTCAAGCCCGGAGACTCAATTACCTTGAGAGTTAATGCTAATTGGTTTATTGAGTTTAATTGGATATCATTAAAAATACTGCCATCTTAGGCAAGGACTAAGATAATATTCTTCTGAGGGAAGAATGATGATTCTTACTTTGTCATTCATATATAACCTTAACT